TCGACTTTCATTTATAATTGAAAAATGTCTATCATGTCAAAATATACATGAATCTAATAAAAACATTTTTTTTAAAAATGTAAATATGGGCTGTTTTTATTGGAGACACACCATATGATCACATTTCTTACAAATTATATGAAAACTTACAACTTTAATTATACCGGTATAATTGCAACCCCACGATATTTACAACTTAATCACGTGATTCTAACGAAAAGAAAAACGACAAAAAGCAATAAAAAGAGAATATATAACAGATAAAAAATAAATCATAACATTGGTAAATAACAATAAATTGTAAATATAGGTAATTTACCATAAAAATTCGTAAATTATTGTCCAATTTTTAACAACCCAGAGTGATCCAGAAGAAAAAAAAAAAATGCAATTTTCATTTCAAATTAAGAGCCTGACATATACGGCCCCCAGCCTTACAAACGCCGCCATTTTATTACTAGTATAAAAACTAAAGCTTTGTAATTATATGTCGATGCCATTTGGCGAAACCTTCTTGACAAGTTCATTAGTGACCTCAAAATGGCAATGTCCAAGTGGTTTATCTTTTGTTAAAACGTTAAAATCCATCACTTTCAAAATAAACTTGTCACCAATAGATCTAACAGGCAAATAATGAACTTCATTCCACTTCGGATTCAAGTCGTTATCTATGAAATAGAATAGTAGATTTAATAATAACCAAAAAGCTTAAATCAATCTAATATCAAAAGAAGCTTCTTTTCTTGCTGATATTCTAAATACAAAAAATATTATAAACAAACAAGCTAGCTATATCATTAACAAAGTTATCATTTCAATCTTAGAATACTGAATACAAAATATTGTTATTCTTCTAACAATATGCTAAAAAATCCTATCAAAATACCTTACAGTTGCAAAACATAAAGCAAGTCACTTCAAAACACTCCTAAATAGTACTATGCTTAATCATAATATATATAGTATCAAAAATATCTAGGATATTCAACTACAATATTATATAACTAACTTTTTAATATATCTTAATAATTTTGATTTACTAGGATTATCTACTCAAATATGAGTTCAACAACTTCAAAACAACTTATGGTCTACTATAAGCCTCCTACAATATCCAAATCTACTAATCAATAGAAATAACAAATATACAACTATATACAAAATTATCAAACTTCTCAATTCATTAAATATAGTAATTACTGTAATAATAACTATCAATAGCTAAAAACTTATCAACATAATGCATATCTATTAGAACAAATACTTAACAAACACCTACTCTACTCAACATTTAAACAACAACTTTACAAGAAGAATATTATCTATTTAGATTAACTCACAATCTTTGAAAACAATATTCTTCTTAAATAGCAATATATATCTTTACGAGTTTATCACTTGCCTAAAAGAAAATAGCTTTTATAGTTTTTTTTTTTAGAAGAAACAATCACAACAAATCTACATACTAGAGAAATCATAGAATCAATATCTCTAAACTCTTCTAATCCTTTTCTATTAAGTACAGGTCACTTTAAAACTAAAATCTATAGATTTTATTAATCATAAATAATCAAATTATTTTAGAAAAAGCTTGTAAATTTTTTTTAAACAACAACTTTATATCAATAACTCATTAGACTGTTGACTATAATTCAAGTCATACAGCCTACTATTCTAACCTACAAATTAACTATACACCTTGCTCAGGTTGTAACCAAAATTCTAATTATATTAAGGACTTTTATACTATTGAGGTATTAGCTATACATAGTACTAAAGTTTGAATCAGATCTTCTACAAGTAGCTCTTTTACCAGATTGAAGCTTAATGCAAATATTGTTGATTTAATCTATAATCTAGCAATCAGACACCCATTAACTATACCTTCTCCAAATATCAATTTAGAAACTAACTATACAAATGAAATATTTAAACCTAATAAAATCTCTAAACTCTTATATAATATAGTACTACAAAATTTAAACTAACAAGAGTTCATATTTTATACTAATGGTTTAGTACAAAATATATATATAGACCAATACTCTATAGGAATTGGCTAAGTTCAAATTACTAATAACCAAATAGTTCAAATATTTGCAGCACAAATTAAAACATGGCCTTCATCATATAAAGCAGAACTTATTGCAATACTCTCAACTATAAGTACAGTACTAAAAAACTACAATATACAAATTTTTACTGACTCACAATTAGTAATATCTAAGTTTAACAAAGCTTAACAACAAACATGAAACTATAATACCAAAACAAAATATAATTACTAGCAAATTTAGAAAATATTATTTAATTTTATTAAATCACAAAATATCAATATCACTTTTCATAAGGTCTAAGCCTATAGTAATAATAAATTTAATAATATAGCAGACTATTTAGCCTTATACTATTTACTTTTAGGATTCCTTGAATTCAACTATACAAATTACTTCAACAATTCTTATATACTTCAATAGGAAAATTTCTCTATTGAATAACCAACAAGTAAATTCATCAAAAATATCTGCAATACTTTTATAATTGCTATGTGGTCCTCACAATTTAGAGTACAACTTTGAAAACAATTTTCAAAACAAGTTGACTAGAATATAACTTGAACTGTAATTAATAATAATCTTTCACATTTATCTAACTATACTAATTACAAACTGAGTAGAATCAAAACCTTCTGAGTTAAAAATCTCTTAAACAATCTTCCTACTATATCCTAACTATATGCTTATTATCTAAATATTATCAAAACAAAACAATGTATCTCTTGTAACCAAACTAATGATAATATATATTAGCTATTTTGCCCAAACTTACAATTAATCTTTAATATAATTAAATCAAATATACAATCTATTTTTATACTAGATAATCTTGATATTTCATTATCACAACTTACATATCTTCAAAACTCTTTTATTAATCACTATTCCTTACAATTACTACAGCCTTTTTCTAACAATATTTTACTTTATCAATTGATTACAGGTCTCATACTAAATGACTTAATTCAACTGCTATATCTCTATACAGAATTTTACAAATTAGCTTAACAAATTATAACTTCACTATTTATTAAAATATCTGAATCAGTACATAAACAATTATAGAAACCCTACTGTGCTAAACTTTCTGAATGAAAACAAACAAATAATATTAAACTTTACAAACAAAATTCTTGAACTAATACCATACAACTATATCTATCTCTAACTTACTATAGCTTTAGCTCAAATGAAGTTAGTTGTATATGCGAATATTCTAAAAAATAATATAAAAACTCTCTTTGTCTTCCAAAAGAACTAGCATACTATAAACTTTATATTTGGTCTATTGAATAGATTAAATATAGTATCCCAACAAATAATATAATTAATATTCAAATCTAGATAAGTTATAACTATTCTAGTAGATTTAGGTTACAGATAAACTAGTCTGAGTTTCAAATCTTGCTATATAGTCTAAAATTATACCTTGTATTAGTATAGTATATAGAAATTTCTTTTATAAAATTTTTTAATTAAACTATTAATAAAGATAGAAACATGGCTTTATCTTAGCTTTTC